CTGTCAGTGGATAGTGAGTGGGAGGAGGGGGAGCCTCAGAAAGAATTGCTAATGGATGCTGGGCTTAATTCCTAAATGATGGGATGATCTGTGCAGCAAACCAGCACGGTACTCATTTATCTGTGTAACAAACCTGCACATCCTGCACATGTAACCCTGAATTTACAAGTTGGAAACTAAAAATAATAAAATGTTGGTTACCAATTAAAAAATGTAAAACAAAAACAAGCAAAAATGCAAAACAAAACACCAATAATAAACCAACTCTCCCTTCCCCCTTCACCCTCTCCAGGAATAGATGGCTTCCATAGTCAGTTCTACCAATCACTCCAAGAAGAAATACTTCAATCTTTCACAAATAGTTCCAGAGCATTAAAAGAGAGAAAGAATATATAAGAAACACTACACTCTGCCTCAGACTATGAAGCCTATAAATATAAATGGGGAAAAATGCTACATAAATTATTAATAAGTCAAATCCAAAAACATGTCTACTCCATTATGACCAAGTTGGGTTAAGGATATCTCAGAAATACTTTCCTTTCTGCTTTAATTATAAAATACAACAATACGAAGATATAAAAATAAGACCATATATATGCACACACCTATATTTGTAAAAAGGAACACTTGAAAGGTAACCAAAAAACTAATAAAAGTGGTTACTGGCCAGGTGCAGTGGCTCACACTTGTAATCCCACAGCTTTAGGAGGCAAGGGTGGAGGGACTGCTTGAAGCTAGGAGTTCAAGACCAACCTGGGCAACATAGCAAGACACCAATCTCTACAAAATAAAAAATAAAAAAAGTTAGCCAGCCATGGCGGTGCATACCTGCAGTCCTAGCTACTGAGGAGGCTCAGGTGGGAGGATCGCATAAAACCAGGAATTTGAGATTAGAGTGAGCTATGCTCCTACCACTGCATCCCAGCCTGGGCAACAGAGTAAGAGCCTGTTTCTAAGAAAAAAACAAGTAGTTGCCAACAGCTGGTGGAAGAATCAGGTGAAAAGGGCAAAGGCTTTTGAGATATGTGAACATATCGCTGATTTTTAAATTTAACTTTAAAAAGTAAATCAACTAATATAATTCATCATCATAACACAATAAAAGAGAAAATCATATGATCATCCCAAAAGATGCAAAAAATGCATTGGATATTAAGTAACCAATCAAAAATCAGAAAAACATAGCAAATCAGGCCTAGAATTTTCTTTTCTTTTTTTTTTTTTTTTTTTTTTTTGAGATGGACTCTCCCTCTGTCACCAGGCTGGAGCACAGTGGTGCTATCACTGCAATCTCCCACTCCCTGGTTCAAATGATTCTCCTGCCTCAGCTTCTCGAGTAGCTGGGATTACAGGCATGCGCCACAATACCTGGCTAATTTTTGTATGTTTAGTGGAGACGAGGTTTCACCATGTTGGCCAGGATGGTCTCAATCTCCTGACCTCATATTCCACCCGCCTTGGCTTCTCAAAGTGCTGGGATTACAGGCGTGAGCCACCACACCCAGCTAGAATTTTCTTAAACTGATAAAACACATCTATTTTCAAAAACCATAGAACATGTCACTTATGTGTGCAATGTTATCAGTTATTGCTAGATTAGGAACAAGGCCAGAATACCCATCAATCACATCCATTCAACATAAAACTCAGGGTACTATCCAATGCAGTAAGGCAAGAAAAAACAAATAATAGGTATAAGGATTGAAAAGAAACAAACAAAAACTATCTCTCTTCACACATAATACAATCATGTATGTAGAAGAAATCTACAGATAAAGTATTAGGATATATAAGAAAATTTAGCTGATAGATTACAAAAAAGTCAATATATAAAAGTTAATCATATTCCTATGTACAATTAGAAAACAAGACTTAAAATCATTTATTTGTATTTTAGAGACAGGGTCTTGCTCTGTCAACCAGGCTGGAGTGAAGTGGAAGAATCATTAACTCACTGCAGCCTCAAACTCCTAGACTCAAGCAATCCTCCCACCTCAGCCTTACATATAGCGGACAGGTGTGAACCATGGTGCCTGGCTCATATTTTCTACAATGCTATAAAATTATGAAGTATCTAGGAATAAATTTTACAATGATCTGCAAAATCTTTCAGGAAAAAAAGATTAAACTTTTACTGCAAAGCAATAAAAAAGACCTAAATAAATGGATCAGAAGACTTCATGTTGTAATAATATTAATTCTCCCTATATTGCTTATAAATTTAATACAATATCCAAAAAGACTCATTCAGGCTTTTTAATGGCATGAGTCTAAGAAATCTAAAGGGTCAAAAGTGGCCAACACACTCTTGTAGGACAAGATGGAAGGGCCTGCTTTACCAGATATTAAGACATGTTATAAGGGGATGGTAACTCAGAAAACATGCTGTTCATACAGGGGTATACTAACAGATCAACGGTAGAGAACAGAAAAGCCAAGAAACACATTCATACACATTATGGGCACTTGATATATGACAGGTGGCACAACAGATCAGTGCACAAAGGGGAGGGCTTTTCAATAAATACAGCAGTAGCAATTGGCTATCTGTATGCGGAAAAAATTAAATTGAGCCCCTACTTCTACTACACAAAAATCAATACTAAGAAGAACAAAACACAAAAAGCACTAACCACAAGGAAAAGTATTAATGAATTTTACCACATTAAAATTCTATTCAAGGCAGAACTTTTTTAAAAAGAAAAACCACATAGAATATATCTGCAACCCATATAAAAAGAACAACAACAACAACAAAACCACAGACAAATATATAGCCGAGTGTGGTGGCTAATGCCTGTAATCCCAACACTTTGGGAGGCTGAGGTGTGTGGATCACACTGTACAAACTGGTACAACCACTCTGGAAAATAATTGGCAACATGTAGTACTACTGAGGTCAAGAGTTCAAGAGCAGCCTAGTCAACATGGCAAAACCCTGTCTCTACTAAAAAAAAAAAAATATATATATATATATATATATATATATATATACACACACACACATACATACACACATACACACACAAAAAAAAAAAATTAGCTGGGCATGGTGGCAAGTGCATGTCATCCCAGCTACTCAGAAGTCTGAGGCAGGAGAATCATTTGAATCTGGAAGGCAGATGTTATAGTGAGCTGAGATCATGCCACTGCACTCCAGCCTGGGTGACAGAGTTTGTGTGTGTGTGTGTATACACACACTCACATAAAGTAATAAGAAAAGGACAACTCAGTAGAAAAATGAGCAAAAGACCTGACTAGGTACTTCAGAGGAAATACAAAAGATCCTCAAAGTCAAGAGTAACTTAAAATTAAAACCAAAATAAAATACCATTACATATCCACAAGACTGACAACAATTAAAAACACTGTAACAGCATGCGTTGAAGATACCAAGCAACAGGAACTCTCATATACTCTTCATAGTGATTCAAACTGGTACAACCACTCTGGAAAGTAGTGGGCAACATGTAGTACTACTGAACATATGCATAGCCTCTGACACAGCAATTTCACTCCTGCATTTATATTCCACTGAAATGTATGTAAATGTACACCAAGAGACTTGACCAAGAATATTTACACCGACATTGTTTGTAATAACCTGATGCTTCCAAACCTGGGAACAAACCAAATGTCCATCTATGACAGAATAGGTAATTTGCGGTATATTCATAACATGGAATTCAATATAGTAATGAAAATGAACAAACTACAGCCACTCACTGGATGACTCTCACAAACACAATGTTGAGAAAATGAAGCAAAACCCAGAAAAATGCATGATAAAAATACGATACCTACGATGTAAAGTTCAAATAAGTTTAGGAATGCATACATATGAGGTAAAAGCATAAAGGTAAGCAAGGAAAGGGTCACAAAAGTCAAGATTATTCTTACTTATGCAGAAGAGAGATGGTTATAATTGGAAAAGGTATGGGGGAAAGGCTTCAGTATTGCTTCAATTCAATTGTTCTATTTCTTAATCTGGAAGGAGACTACCTCAATACTTGTTTTATAATTATTTGTTAGATTGTGCATAAGTTTTTACATACTTTCTGAATGTGCATTTTACAACTATGAATAGGTACTAAAAAAAGGAAAACTTAACACAGAGGAGCTTCATTGTTGAAGTATTTGTTATCCCAATGCCAGCTACGTAAGGTCGCTCAGGGAAGCAAAAATCATCATAATATGACCATGTTCACTAATACAGATTTCTTAATGAATTGATCACTCCACTCAAAATTCCCCCCCTCCCCGATTAACACCAGTAGTTTCTCTCACTGATAGTAAACACCCGCAATATAAATAAAAGGCGCATCGTCTGCAAATTCATTCAACAAATATTTCCTAAGTGTCCAAATATTTAGGAGGGACTAGTAAGGTCCAAGACAGATAAAGACCCAGACAAAGGACATGGGAACTTCCACTCCCACCCCAATTTGGACTTCCTCTTTTTACCCTCCTTTCCTATGAAGTTTCAAACATGAAGAATCTAAAATGACTCAGGCACATATTGTTACTACTAAAACTATTTTGTTACTCTTTTCAATGCAGAAGTATCACCTGATTGGATTCATGTGGCAAAATCAAATTTCCCATGTTTTCAAGTAGGCAAAAAGATTGCCTTATCAAGAGCCGTAGCACAAAGCACCAGTTTCAACAATAGCGGTGCTATGGAAATTGGCCTAAGTGGGGCCAAAACTCCCAAGAAATGTTTTACCTGGGATCCACAGACCAGAAACTTGCAATTTTCTAGAAACTGTATACCAGATTTTGTATGTGCATGTTTTTTCTCAGATCAGAGTCCAGAACTTTCATCAGATTCTCAAAGGGGTTCAACCAAAAAGGGTGAATAAAACTACTCCCAAAAAGATGGAAAGACTAGCTTCTTGGGGACATAATGAAAACGAATGTGGTCACAGCCAGGCCACCTGAATTGAAACCCAGGTGTCCTGACCCCTACGCTTATGCTCTGAAGGCCCAATACTTACTCTTAGTTCTTCAAAGGCTTCGTCTAGGGTGGAAAGTTGGTGGCCCTGGTGAGCTCCAATGACTGGACACAGGACACAGATGAGCTGCCTGTCTGCCTGGCAATAGGTGCTCAAATCGAGCCCATGGTCCGGACACTTCCTCTTGGCCACTCTCTCTGCTTCCATTTCTATTTCTGGGTCAAATTCACTTTCTGCCTCAGTTTCTCCCTCTGCTTCAGATTCCCCTTCTTCCTGGTTGTCTTCTTCAGCCTCGCTTTCTTGCTCATCCTCCATTTCTTCCTCGCTGTCTTCTTCACTCTCCTCCTCGCTCTCATCCTCACTCTCTTCCTCTGACTCGCTCTCTTCCTCCGACTCGCTCCCTTCCTCCGACCCGCTCCCTTCCCCTGCTTCGCTTTCTAGCTCCCTCTCCTGCTCCACCTTGACCTCCGCCTCTTCCTTCCCCGCCCCCTCCCTGTCAGCCCGCGGGGTCCAGGCCTCGGCGCCGTGGATGTATTCGGCCAGGTGGTGACTGAGGAACTTCTGCCTGTGCGCCTCGGCGTGGCGGCGGCAGTAGCAGAAGCCGCATTCTCGGCACACTTCCTCGGCCCCCGGAGCCTCGTCGGGCTCGCACTCGTCACACGTGCCGTCGTGAGGCAGCTCCTCGATGGCCGCGCCCACTCCGGAGGCCATGTGGGTGCAGTGACGCTGCCAAGGCCTCAGGGCCTCGGGGCTCGCCGCCTTCCCTCCGCGCGGCCTCCTCACTTCCTCCTCCCGCCCCTGCTCCTTTCCTCGGAAGTTGCCGCCCGCCTGGACCGCGTCGCGTCTCGGAGCGGGACCTGGGGCCGCTGCAGCCCCTGCCCGGGCGAAGCAGCAAAGAGCCTTCCCACCGGCTCTGCCTGCTCCGCAGGGTCCCTGCGCTTCCTCAGCCGCGCCGGCCACTTCCGGCGCGGCGGCCCAGCGCCCCCGTCGGCCCCCGCGTCGCGCCGCCCGCTCGGCCTCCCGCTACCCGGGCGAGATCGCGGCCGCTGCCGGCCCCCGCGCCGCCCCGGTTCCACTTTCCCTTTCCCCGTCAGGCGGCCTGCTTTCACTTCCTGAGTCATTTAAAGTGGCAATGACCCTTTTCCGCTTTTCACGCGGGGCTCAGCTCCGCCGCTCCAAATCTCACCGTGCCTTGGAGGAGGGTGGGGGGAGAGGGAGAATAGGGGAAGTCTCTTGCTCTTTCCCGGGGCGAGAATCGGGCTCCGCCTCCCCCATTCCCTTCCTGGAGGCGTCGGCCTGCTTTTTCAAGGCCACTAGGCTGGTGTCCCTGTGCATTTCAGTCGTTCTTGTGACAATTTGTCGCCGCCCGTCACAGTCCCCAGCGTTCTGCAATGTGCCAGGACAGTGTTGTTTACCAGACTGAACCTGGCCTCTTGGGATTTCCTGAGTGCGGAAGGGCTGTGTTTGTTCTAGGCTCGGGGAATCGGAGTCAGAATGAGCAAACAAACATTTTCGATCCAAAGCAATACTGTGCTTTGTCTGTTTGCATTCCTGCCTCCTAGGATCTCAGAACTTCTGGGGTGGTAACCTCTGTACGATTTTCTGAGAGCCTGCCTTGGGTTGGGCAGAGCTGTCAGGTGAAGTGAAGTGGGGAGAGGCATCATTTGTCAAGTGAAAGGTCCAGATTGCAGTCATTTTCCTTTATGTAAGATGTCCCTCTAGATCCTCTTGGGCTCTAAGAGAAAGGAAGGGAACTGTAGATTATAAAGCAATACTATAGTGCCAAGAACCCGGCTACATCTTGTTGTGGCTCTTTAAAAGCCAGTTTTGGAAGATCCACTGCCCGATGGTCCCCAAATCCTGGTGCCACTACCTATCAGTTTTTGTGACCATGGACAAGTTAATTCATCATTCTGTTTTCCACTTTTTAAAAAATATGTAAAGTTAAAAGAATGGTAAACATCTGCCTCAGGGGGTAGTTTTTGTGTATTAAATGTAAAGATTCCTGTACTGTATTCACTAAGCTTTCATTATTTTTGGCACAAAGTATATTTAGTGCTCACAGTGCACCTTTGAAGGAACATATTTTACTCACATAGGGCATTTTCACCTGGCAAGACCCCATCTCTACCCCATATCCATGTCTCTTCATTCACAGAAGAGTTTGTTTTGCACTGTATTTGAGAGAGGGAAAAGAATGTTTTTATCTAGCCAAGGGAGAGGCTGAGGTGTGGTCAAGAAGAATGAAGAGGATTGGAATGGTGTCTGTTTTACACTGATTCCCTTAGATGACTTTGAGCTAGAATTTCCAGATGCTTTCCTCAAACATACTAGAGGATGAGGTGGGGTAAAAAGCATTTAAAATAGTTTTTAATGTCCTCATGGATAATGTATACCTAATCATTGTGCAGCTTTTGTTAGATATTTATTTTTTAGAAACCTTTCTTTCTAACCTCAGAACAATTCTATAGAATGTTGAAAAAAAAATCAGGTTTATTTTGTTCCAATACCATACACATTTCTGTATTCCCCTGGCCCATCTCTCTGGAAATTATTTCTGTGTCTGCTTTTGTAACATGAATTGATGTACTATTCTGAAAAAAAAATTCAACGAATGTCAACTCAAACATCAACATTAATGTATCTAGTGAGAAGTGTGCCTAGCTTGGTTACTTCACTCCCGACCTCCCCCCCAGGCTTTAAAGGAAACAACTTTGCCTTTACAAACATAATGTTCTCACATTTAGAAAGTCTTTTTTCAATGAAAATATTTTTTAATGTCCCTTTTTTTTTTTTTTTTTTTTTTTGAGACAGGGTCTCTCTTTGTTGCCCATGCAGGAGTGCAGTGGCGTGATCACAGCTTACTGCAACCTCTACCTGCTCTGCTCAAGCAATTCTCCCAAGTAGCTGGGACCACAGGCATGAGCCACCAAGCTCCACTACATTTTTTGGTGTTTTTTTGTAGAGACATGGGTCTCACTATGTTGCCCATGCTGGTCTTGAACTCCTGGACTCAAGCAATCCCACCTCAGGCTCCCAAAGTGCTGGGATTATAGGTGTGAGCCATGGCCTGGCCTTTTTAATATCTTAAAAGGACATTTTGTATTCAGGGTCTCTGGTGGGGGCAAGGGGAGTCATGTTATCATTATCGTTATTACTGTTCCTTCTTAATGTTACCTGACAGAAAGTTAAAATATAACACTGTGAAGTTCAGTATCTGACACTTTACAATCCTTCTTTGAGCACTCTGTGGAAAGAGGGTCTTAAAGGCAGAGAGATTAAACTTCTTTCTTGCTCTTTTGCCCAGGCTGGAATGCACGATCCTGGCTCAGTGCAACCTCCACCTCCCAGGTTCAAGCAATTCTCCTGCCTCAGCCTCCCAAGTAGCTGGGATTACAGGTGTGTGACACCATGCCTGGCTAATTTTTGTATTTTTAGTAGAGATGGGGTTTTGCCATGGTGCCCAGGCTGGTCTCGAACTCTTGGACTCAAGCAATCCACCTGCCTCATTCTCCCAAAGTGCTGGGATTACAGGTGTGAACCACAACACCTGGCCAGTTTAAACTATTAAAAAGGGACTTCAAAAATTTCTGGTGACAAGGTGTGGCAAACTCAATGAGGCAGATCTCTGTAACCCTCTGCACAGAAATCCAAACCATCTGATTCCCCAAGAATTCGTATATTTGGCAGTGTCCACAAATAGCTCCCTTATTATATTAATCTTCACTACATAGAAAATGACCTCACAATGTTGGGAGTTCAAGACCAGCCTGACCAACATGGAGAAACTCCGTCTCTACTAAAAATACATAATTAGCCAGGCATAGTAGCACATGCCTGTAATCGCAGCTACTCGGGAGGCTGAGGCAGGAGAATCGCTTGAACTCAGGAGGTGGAGGTTGCGGTAAGCCAAGATTGTGCCATTGCACTCCAGCCTGGGCAACAAGAGTGAAACTTCATCTCAAGAAAAAACCAAAACCAAAACCAAAAAAAAACAGAAAATGACCTCAAAATGTACCAGCTTAAAACAATAAGCATTTATTATCTCACATAGTTTCTGTGAGCCAGGACTCTGGGAGTGACTTTGCTAAGTGGTTCTGACTTAGGGTCTTTCAAGAAATTTATAAGATGTTGGTCCTGTCTTCAGGCTATCTGCCTGCCTCTGTCCCTCAAAGTGGTGGGATTATAGGCGTGAGCCACCATGCCCAACAAAGACTCTAGTCAAAGACTCTAGTCTTTCACTAACATTGTCCTCGAAGTCTTTCCAGCTTCTACCTACTCCTCGGTTCCAAAACCACTCCAACATTTTAGGTTTTTGTTATGATAAAACTTTATTCTTTTTAATAAAATTCGTGTTCATTATCTATTGCTACAAAATGTGGGAACAGAGGGGAAACTTCACCCTCAGCAGGTTTCCTGAAAAATCACCTGAACAAAGGCAGATTAATAGGAGAAAAGACATATAAATTTATTTAATACAAGTTTTACATTACCCAGAGTCTTCAAAATGAAGACCCAAAGATACAACGGAGACTATTTTTATACTTAGGTTCAATGAAGTATGAACAACTATGTAGAAATATGATTGAAGAAAAAAGCCTATGATCTAATGCTAATTTCAGAGGCGTTTGAACCAGAGCAACTCCATCCTGAATAGGGGCCAGGTAAAATAAGACTGAGACCTACTGCGCTGCGTTCCTAGATGTTAGACATTCTAAGTCACAGGATTAGATAGGAGGTCAGCACAAGATACAGGTCATAAAGATCTTACTGGCAAAACAGATTGCAGTAAAGAAACCAGCTAAAACCCACCAAAACCAAGATGGCAATGAGAGTGACCTCTGGTAGTCCTCATTGCTAAACTCCCACCAGCACCATGACAGCTTATAAATGCCATGGCTACAGAATTAGCCAAGCATGGTGGCACATGTCTGTAACCCTGCTACTCGGGAGGCTGAGGGAGGAGAATCGCTTGAACCAGGGAGGCAGAAGTTGCAGTCAATCGAGCCAAGATCATGCACTTGCACTCCAGCCCAGGCAACAAGAGCAAAACTCTCTCTCTCAAAAAAAAAAAAAAGAAATGCTATGGCATCGTCAGGAAATTACCCTATATGATCGAAAAAGGGGAGCCATGAATAATCCACCCCTTGTTTAGCATATAATCAAGAAATAATCATAAAAATGGGCAACCCACAGCCCTCAGGGCTGCCCTGTCTATGGAGTAGCCATTCTTTTTTTCCTTTACTTTCTTAATAAACTTGCTTTCACTTCAGGGACTCGCCCTGAATTCTTAATATCGCGAGATCCAAGAGCCCTCTCTTTCTGATAACACTAACAGACTGAGCGGGGAGACAGCAGGGCCTGCCTCTCTAGATTCTTCTTGGCCTTTCTGTGCAACGTTCCTTTCTTCTAGGAACAGGGCAGGACTTTCTCTGGAATGGGGGTCTTATGACCTACAGTCAAGCAAGGTAAGTCAGATAATTTCTTTTTGGCCAGTTTTTACACAGAAATCTGGGGGAAAGTTAGAGTAATACTTTTAAGTTTTATGACTGGCTTTGGAGAAAAGAAGCTCTCGTGTCTATGACCCACCTTGAGAAAGAAGGATTCTAGTTTCTATGGCGAGCCTTGGGGGAGAATGAGGGGCCAGAGACAGGAAAGTGGGAGGTCAGAGAGAAACATGCTTCAGACACCTTCATTTTGGGGTATCATTTTCTAAGCCCCAACAATAACAAATTACCCCAAAACTTTGAGTCATCTTGGGGGCTGGTCATCACACTTGGCATTGCCGTTGTCTTCCCATTGTAGTTAGCAATCGCTCTAAGGCAGCTCCGAGATCCTTAGAGCCAGCAGATGTGGAGAACGGGGCAGTTAGCAGCTGCAGCTGTTTTCTGAGTGCATGTGAGACCTCCAGAAATAGTGTAGTCCTAAATAAACAGGTGTCAGCTGTTATATGGCTGATAGCCCTTAAGCCTTTTAACATTTGAACTCTGCACAGATGAGAAAGCCTAGATTCAGAGAGGTGAAGAAACTTGTTGAGGTTTACACAGCCAGAAGCTAGCTGAGTTGGGATTCAAATTCAGATCTCTTAAATTGGATATTACCATGTTCATCTGTGGATATAGTAGGTAA